ATGGGAATCGACCTCTATGAGATCTTGCTGCCGCTCGCGCGGACAACTTGGTAACCCAGAGTGGTACCCTTTACCCTTTGTTTGGTTTCTGGGTTCCCTTGTAAGGTAACCAACCAAAACAAGGGGGTGCCCTTATTAAGATATGGTTACTGGACTACCAAGGTAAGTGAGGGCTTGCAAGGAAACCTGGGATGGTAACCCCAAATCCCCGGGACCCTTCCATGAAGCGCGCCTCACATCCGAAACCCGACACCCTAAAACCCTAAAATTCCAAAGCCTAAAGCCCAAAACCCTAAACCCTAAACCCTAAACCCTAAGCCCTAAACCCTAAACCCTAAACCCTAAACCCTAAACCCTAAACCCTAAACCTAAACCCTAAACCAGAACCAAAGGAGCCCCGAACTCCTGCACCCAAGAATCTCGATGCACCAGGCTGGGTCTTCACATGAAGAAATGGTTTCTCAAGGCAGGCGTCTACTTGCACGATTTTGGCGCTGCCCGGCTCAGGTTTCGAGTTTAGGGTCTGTTGAGTGAGTTTCCCTTACCTGGTCAAGAAGGGAACCTACTCGACGTTCGTTCTCAAGAGCTTCACCCTGGAACCCTTGAACACAAAACCTCTGAACCCCCAAACCTCTGAACCCCAAAACCCCTGAACACCAAACCCTATACCCTGAACCCCTAAACCCTATCACCTAAACCCTTGAACCCTCAACCCTAAACACCAAGCCCAAAAAATGTGAACCTATGCTCCATGCCCTAAACCCTTAAACCCTTGAACCCTGAACCCTACAACCCTACAACCCTACACCCTTATGACCTTGAACCCCTAAAACCTTGACCCCTCAATCCAAGCGAAACCCTCAACCCATGGGCCCAAGCAACCCTAGGGGTTTAGGGTTTAGTGTTTAGGGTTCAGGCACCCAGTTGTGCTCCCTCTTTTGTGGTGGTTGCCTTCCCTTGAGCTACAAACCCTAAACCCTCAGCCCTAAAACAGGGGACCCTCGTCTTATTCTACAGCCCTAAACCCTAAACCCTAAACCCTAAACCCTAAACCTAAACCCTAAACCCTAAACCCGAATTTATTCAAAGTCTCTGGGGAACCCCGAACAGAGTTGCACCCCAGGCGATGGTTGAGATCATGGTCAGCTACTTCAAGAAGCTCCTGGCCCTTAAACGTTTAGGGTTTAGGGTTTAGGGTTTAGGGTTTAGGGTTTAGGGTTTAGGGTTTAGGGTTTAGGGTTTAGGTTTACGTCAAACCTAAAACCCTCAAACCCTAACACCCTCAAAACCCGAAAGCCCTCCAAACCCAAAGTTTTCCTAGGTGCCTCACCCCCCCTTCCGCCCGCGCCCGAGATCCTAGAACTGCCTGGTGCAGATTGGGTTTAGGGTTTAGGGTTTAGGGTTTAGGGTTTAGGGTTTAGGGTTTAGGGTTTAGGGTTTAGGGTTTAGGGTTTAGGGTTTAGGGTTCAGGGTTACGTCAAACCTAAAACCCTCAAACCCAAACACCCTCAAAACCCTAAAGCCCTCAAAACCCAAAGATTTCCTAGCCTTCCGCATGCGCCCGAGATCCTAGAAGTACCTGGTGGGAGCTCCGGACTTCTCAGCCTGGGGGCGGTTTAGGGTTTAGGGTTTAGGGTTTAGGGTTTAGGGTTTAGGGTTTAGGGTTAGGGTTTAGGGTTTAGGGTTTAATGGTAGGGGTTTGGGGTTGAGGGGCTTAAGCGGTTTTTCGGCTTCGGGATTCTAGGTGGTTTATGGGTTGGGGGGTTTTAGGGTTTAGGGGTTAGAAACGTGTCGTTTGAGAAGGGCTGGAGGCTCGGAGGCCGAGGCTTAATCAGAAAGCTTTATGGTTTAGGGTTTAGGGGTTTCGGGTTTAGGGTTTAGGTTTAGGAGCATCTACTTGCTCACCCTAAACCCTGAACCCTAAGACTACACCTTAAGCCCTAAACCCCCAAACCCCTAAACCCTAAACCCGCAAACCCGCAAAACCCTACACCTCCCCCCCCGAGAGGTTTGCGGGTTGGGGTGGTTTTAGGTTTGAGGCTTTACGGCTTTAAATGAGCCTGCGGGAACAGCTTAGGAACAGCTTGGAGCCCCAAAACCCAACAGCCCAGGATTGGCATCTCCGATGAAGACGTGGCCCAACTCGCCCAGCGAAAGCAGTGCTTCTTAGGCTCCGCATGTTCCGCATGTCCCTAAACCCTAAACCCTAAACCCTAAACCCTAAACCCTAAACCCTAAACCCTGTGGGGCGGGGGGGGGAGTGGGTGGGTTCAGGGTTTAGATGTGTTTAGGCTTTAGGGTTATGGGTTCTAGGGTGTAAAGTTTCGGGTTTAGGGGGGGGGGGGGGGGGGGGGTCCAGGCGCTTGTGACATCACACACTCTCAAGAGGATGCCCAGCACTTTGAGGTTCACGGGGTACTTCTAACCCTTAAGGTTGCACTCTTGGGGACCCCTTTTTAAGGATCTTCTAAGGGAAGATAAGGGCCGCATGAGGAGTACATGAAGGGACCCTCTTAGGGGTACAACCTTAATGGAGTTAAAGCTGTACGTATCAGCCCCCGAAGACCCCTAAGCAGATTAGAGGTCAGCGTATAACTGGGGTCAGAAGCTCCTGCAAAGAAAGTTGCCTCATTTTCGGTCGTCTGGGTAAGGACATGGGAGTTCCTGAAGCCTACCTACAAGTCGTAAACAATAGATCTTTGCAGGTGTGACGCAGTGCTTCCCGCTGAAGCATAGCTGCATCAGCACGCCGGCGAACTTGCACGATCTTGCCTCACGGCGCATCCAGACGTAGTTGTGTCAGAGTAAGGGTTCAGCACCCTAAAACGGTCATTTGGGGTCTAGGGTTTAGGGTTTGCATTCTGAGAAGTATGTGTTTATCACGTGGTTACTATGCGGCTGCTCGATGGTTATTATGTGGTTACTCTATGGTCATTATCAGGTTAGCTTATAGTCACTAAACATACCAGCCTAAAGCCTAAACCTCAAGCCTAAAACCTAAAACCTACTCCCAAAACCCTAAAGCCTAAACCCTAAACATTGCTAGACCCTAAACCCTAAGCCCTAAGCCCTATGCCCTAAACCCTAAACCCTAAACCTCCACCTAGCACAAGGTGTCGCTGCTCCTCTCCTCCATGAGCGCGCCTTGGGCTTTGAAACACATTGGGTTCAGGTTAGGGTTTAGGGTTTAGGGTTTTGGGTTTTGGGTTTTGGGTTTAGGGATTAGGGTTTTGGGTTTTGGGTTTTGGGTTTAGGGTTTAGAGATTAGGGTTTTTTTAGGGTTTAGGGTTTAGGGTTTAGGGTTAAGGGTTTAGGGTTTAGGGTATAGGGTTTAGGGTTTAGGGTTTAGGGTTTCTTACTTAGGGTTTCGGGTTTCGGATTTCGGGTTCAGGATTTAGGGTTTAGGGTTTAGGGTTGAGGGTTGAGGGTTTAGGTTTAGGGGATTTTGGGTTTAGGGTTTAAGGGTTTTTTGGCCGGCTCCCTTGCACATGCAAACAAGCCCTTACCAGAACTGGTATACTGGGTCCTAAACCCTCAACCATAAACGTCATAAATCCCTGGAGCCCCCAATCCCGAATTGTTTATAGGATTCTTTCAAGAGGGGCCTCCTGGAAGCTCAGGGAATGCCAGAAAAACAAACTGGGGCAATGGGTTCACCTCCCCTAAACCCTCTAAACTCCCGAAATCCCCAAGCCCCCGAAACCCAAAATCCAGCTCCAGGTCGTCCCTTTCTTCCGGACGCCTGGGGTTTTTCAAGGCCACGTACAATTTTTCTCTGAATGGTCTGCTGACGGCTTCGGGTTTAGTCTGTGAGCATGGGGTGCTGCAGTTTTGGTTTCGGTTGGAGAGTTCCGGGTTTAGGGGATTAGGGTCTAGCGTTTAGGCTTTAGGCCGAGATGGCTTATAGGGCTGAGGCCAAAATTCTGCGCAACCCAAAGTGCACCACTTTGTGTAGGTAGGGATTGTAACCCTAAACCCGAAACCCCAGACCCTAAACCTTAAACCGAAACCCCAAAGCCGGGGTTTAGGGTGTCTCATCCTGTTGTTGGCCATGCTCTCGTCATGACCTTTGCGGTTTAGGGTGTAGGGTTTAGGGTTTTAGGGTTTTAGGGTTTTAGGGTTTTAGGGTTTTGGGGTTTTGGGGTTTTAGGGTTTTAGGGTTTTAGGGTTTTAGGTTTTTAGGGTTTTAGGGGTTTAGGGTTTTAGGGTTTTAGGGTTTTAGGGTTTTAGGGTTTTAGGGTTTTAGGGTTTTAGGGTTTAGGGCTTGGGCTTTGGGGGTTAAGGATTCCGTTGCTTTCTGATCGTTCAGGCTCTAGGTCGCGGAGTGACTGTGAAGCATACTCGAAAACACAATACTAGTAATAGGAGGAATAGTAAGAATATTGATCTGAATAGTCATGATGACAATATTAATCATCATAATCATAATGACAGTATTGAGAATCATCAGAATGAGAATGACAATAATAAGAATCATTTTGATTTAGCTCGAGGCCTCGAGGTTTTCCAGGTTTGGTGTGGGGTCGCGCCCTGAAAGCCCTTGGGAGGCCAAATCTTGCAAATAGGGAAGGCCTTGTTCGAGAATTGAGATCTGGGTTACCCTAAACCCTAAACCCTAAACCCTGAACCCTAAACCCCTTGGCAAGCCAGGGGCTTCCAAGCCTCTAGAGGCTTCTGGGTTCTGAGGGCCCAGAAGTTCCTAGAGCCTTGTTTGGCGTTGCGGTTTAGGGTTTAGGGTTTAGGGTTTAGGGTTTAGGGTTTAGGGTTTAGGGTTTAGGGTTTAGGGTTTAGGGTTTAGGGTTTAGGGTTTAGGGTTTAGGGTTTAGGGTTTAGGGTTTAGGGTTTAGGGTACGAAAGCCCCCAGACCAAGCCTTGGCAGGTAAGTACTACGTGGACGGCGGCTTTTCAGCGATGTACTCGGTGCCCGAGGGCCAGCGCTGGGATGAGGCACGGGTTGGGTTGGGGGTGGTGGTGGTGGTTTAGGGTTTAGGGTTTAGGGTTTAGGGTTTAGGGTTTAGGGTTTAGGGTTTAGGGTTTAGGGTTTAGGGTTTAGGGTTTAGGGTTTAGGGTTTAGGGTTTAGGGTTTAGGGTTTAGGGTTTAGTGGTTGGGTGAGGTTTACAATCGTATGTTAATATCCCCCAAAACCCTATGCCAATGATTAAGGCCCCTATGATAGGGGTGCAGGCGTGGTTTGCCATCATTGGTAACGATGCTTGGCGGGCGAGGGAGTGAACATAGGAGGAGCTGGGGAGTTCCGCCAGTTTCGGGGTTTAGGGTTTAGGGTTTAGGGTTTAGGGTTTCGGGTCTCCCACAACCCTAAACCCTAATGCCTGTGCTCAAGCAAACTGAGAAACCCATGAAATTTGTGGACTTGGCCCTGCGTACGTTTTAATGATCCTGACAAAATTTGGGGCTCTATGGGGCCTATAGGGTTTAGGGTTTAGGATTTAGGGTTTAGGGTTTAGGGTAAGTCCCCAGATCCTTTCACTGCAGAGGTCATCAAGGTGACTTGCTTCCCGTGGTGGACCACGTTGCTGCCTCCTGCCATGGGTGTGGCTGATGTTCAGCCAAGCAGGTTCATGCCCACGGAGGCGAGCGGTTTAGGGTAGGGTTTAGGGTTTAGGGTTCAGGGTTTAGGGTTTAGGGTTTAGGGTTTAGGGTTTGGGGTTTAGGGTTTAGGGTTTAGGGTTTAGGGTTTAGGGTTTAGGGTTTAGGGCTGTAAAGTTTGTAAAGTTCTAGGGCCTTATATCCATACCCTAAACCCCAAGTTCTAAATTTTAGGCGGTTCCCCCTAGCCGGACCTTCATTAACCTGTTGAGCGATCGATGTGTGAACTGGGATGAGCAGAGCGAGCGGATATGAGAGCCACCCCTGAGCCCTTTCAGCCCTAAATCCTCAACCCTAAACCCTAAACCCTAAACCCTAAACCCTAAACCCTAAACCCTAAACCCTAAACCCTAAACCCGTGTCAGGGCTTTGCCATTCCAGTTTGAACAGCATGCCGCGAGCTGCCTGAAGCCCGCCACAAGGATTTTGCATCTACATCCCAGATCGCTACAGAACGACACCCTAAACCCTAAACCCTAAACCATGTTATCCCAAAACACATCAGCTCGATAAACCCTGCAAAACCTTCAACCAACCCTACAAAAACCTGAGCCCTTAACCCTAAACCCTAAACCCGTAACCCTAAACCCTAAACCCTAAACCCTAAACCCTAGGCCCACAACGTTGAGCCCGCAAGCTTTGACCGGCGTCGCAGACTTCAGGTCTGAAGCCCTGAAGGGTCCTGGTTTTCCAGGCAAGTTCAGACCCTGAACTTTAGGGTTTCGGGTTTAGGGTTTAGGGTTTAGGGTTTAGGGTTACGGGTTTCAGGGTTTTTTAGTTTAAGGGTTTAGGGTTTAGGGCAGGTTTAGTGCAGGTATCCTAACCTACGAAACCCAACTGAACGGTGAATCCTAATATGCCGTAAGCCCTAAACCCGCACCAAATGAAGCAAATCACATTCGCGACCCTAAGCCCGAAACCCCACACCCTAAACCCTAAAAGGTCCTCATTCTCTACCCCTGGGCTCATCAGCAAGAGCTGTCGCTTGCCTGCGGTTCCATTGTTTAGTTCTTTTGTTTTCTCGGGTTTCCTGTTTGTAGGGTTCGCAGGGTTTATGGGGATCATAGGGTCTCTGCCCTAAACCCTCAGCCCTAAACCCTAAACCCTGAACCCTGAACCCTAAACCCTAAATCCTAAGCCCTAAACCCTAAACCCTAAACCCTAAACCCTAAACCCTAAACCCAGAGTCTGGGTTTAGGGTTGAGGGATAGGGTTGATGGTCCTTCAAGGACTCCCTTGGAACCTGAGCCTCCAGCCACAACGCCTGCGAACCTCTAGGGCCTCGATGACTGAGGGTTGTGTTTTGTGGGTCTTCTGGCCTTTTTTTCATGATTGGGCCTTAGGGTTTAGGGTTTAGGGTTTAGGGTTTGGGGTTTAGGGTTTTCAGGATTTTAGGGCTTGAGGCATGAGATGCTGTTTCGCTGACGCCAGAAGCTGCTGAATCATCAGCAGTCCACTCCCAATCTTATCTTCTGGGATCCTAGAACCGTGAATTTAGGTAGTTTTGGGTTTAGGGTTTAGGGTTTATGGTTTAGGGTTTAGGGTTTAGGGGTAGTTTTGGGGGGGACATCTACAGCCCGAGACCCTGAGCCCTTACCTGCACCCTCAAAACGCTGCAATCAGGATTCGGCGAGGCTACGAAGACACCAAACTCCAGCACGACCATCTTGTTGCGCGAGGACTGTAGGGCTTAGAGTGTAAGATGTAGGGTTTGGAGAGTTTCGGGCCTCCGTTGCCCCTTCCAACTCAAAAGAACCTTACAAGAAAGGATCTTATTTCGGACACTCTTATAGAAACGTAAATCAAAGGATACCAGAATAATGAGGAAGCTGCGTTAGGTCAAACAAAGGGTGCCACAAGTAAGGAAGCTATGGTTAAACAGAGGGTGCCATAATGACGAGGAAGCTATGTTAGGTTCGCTATTTCCATTTCCTCAACGGCAACCAACCCAGTTAGGAACCCCAAGCCCTAAACCCGAAACTCGAAACTCGAAACCCGAAACCCTAAACCCGAAACCCGAAACCCTAAACCCTAAACCCTAAACCCTAAACCCTAAACCCTAAACCCTAAACCCTAAACCCTAAACCCTAAACCCTAAACCCTAAACCCTAAACCCGAATGAGATTTCGGGATGAGGCTTTCGGGGTGCCCAGTCCTCCAGGGAACCCAATGCTGGGACCCAGATTGGGCCCTTATCCTGTTTTTTGAGGGTTTAGGGTTTAGGGTTTAGGGTTTAGGGTTCCTTGCTAGCCCCTTCAGACCAAAAGGGCACTCTTTGCTCCTAGGTTACTCTTGGGTTTAGGATAACCCTAAACCCTACACCCTAAACTCTAAACCCCCACACACACACACACACCCGCGCGCGCGCACACATGCGCGCACGCACACACACACACACACACAGACAGACAGACAGACAGACAGACAGACAGACAGAAAGACAGACAGACAGACAGACAGACAGACAGACAGACAGACAGACAGACACACACACACACACACACCCGCAAAAGCACGCGCACACGCACACGCACAAAAAACAAAAACAAAAACGAACGGGATAAATGCTCCTTAGTTAAGGAAGGTTCCTCAACAGGGGCTTACGGTTCAACACGGTTGACATGGGGTGAAGGGTTTAAGATGAAGCTTGGGGTTGGGTGCTCCAGCAGGCCCTCGTAATCCTGTTGAAGCTGAGGAATTATGGTTTAGGGTTTAGGGTGTAGGGCATCTTTGCTCATCAACCATGTTAGGATTGCGGCCTTTGCCAAATGCGCCGCTGACTACCTGGCACCTCGCCCGACCTCCCCAAAAACTCCCCACCCCCACCCCCAGCCCCACTGCAGGGTTTAGAGTTTGGTTCCTTTGGTCCCTTCCTTCCTGAAGCGACCATCTCTCTTCTGTTTCTTCTTTTGGCTTCCTGTTGGGTTGTGAATTGAAGAGAGCCCTGAACCCTAACCCTAAACCCTAGTCACCGGTACAAGTCGACTCATCAAGCGCAGCGCCTTTGAAGGTGGCGAGGGCTAGGGCTTATAGCGCTTTGGGGTCCATGGCTGTCGCCCTCAGGGTTTTAGGGTTTAGGGTTTAGGAATTAGGGTTTTAGGATTTAGGGTTTAGGGTTTTCGGTTTTAGGAATTAGGGCTTAGGGTTTAGGGTTTAGGTCCTGCAAGCCTTTTTGCGCGTGCTCAGATCCTTAAGCCCGGGACCCTGCCCTGTGTGCGTCTCCGCATGGTTAGGTATTTGGGCCCGGGTACCTATAAAAGAATGCCCCAAATGATGGAAGCCTACAAGGTGCCACCCTCACTCGAAGAACCCCCTACTCCAAATGAAGCCCAGATCTGTTGACCTTATTCTGGGTGGGGGTGGGGGGTAGGCAGGGCAGCGGTTGCATGGGATCCCATCAACGAGCGGCTTCAGATTTAAGAAACAGCCAAGAAGTTAACCTGCAGACAAAGCAACCTCAGCCCTAAATCCCAAATCCCTAATCCCAAACCCTAAACCCTGACCCCTAAGCCCTAATCCCTAAACCCTAAACCCTAAACCCTAAACCCTAAACCCTAAACTCTAAACCCTAAACTAAACCAGAACTAAGGGCGGAATGGTCGAGCCTCTTCGCAGCCATCGACGAGGACAACTTGCCCCCATTGCAAGCCAAGCATCTTGGCAAGCTAGGGTTTAGGGTTTAGGGTTTAGGGTTTAGGGTTTAGGGATTAGGGCTTAGGGCTTAGGGCTTAGGGTTTAGAACTTCGGGTTTACGGTTTAGGGTCTAGTGTTGTTTTATAGGGTTTCTATGGGTTTTCGATAGGGTTTCTATAGGGTTCCTAGAGGGTTCTGTAGCGTTTCTGCAGGGTTTCTTTAGGGTTTCCAGCAGGGTTTCTAGGGTTTAGGGTTTAGGGTTTAGGGTTTAGGGTTTAGGGTTTAGGGTTTAGGATAGCCAAGGTTTTGCATCAGGGAGTTGAAGTTTAAGGCGCACAGGCAGGGGCCAGATCAACCCCAGGGTTCCAGGTACCTCCTTCCTTCTGAGGGTTGAGGGTTTAGGGTTTAGGGTTTAGGGTTTAGGGTTCAGCATTTGGGGTTTAACAGGAGTTTCATGGTCCCTGAATATGGTCCCTCACCCTCTTTAAAGGCTTCTGGTGTATGGTCCCTTGGCCTTTCAAGGGCCCGTACTAAGGGACCATGAAACTACCCTTAGATTCCTGTTTGGTGGAGACAGGGGATCCCTAAACTCAATAACCCTAACCCTAAGGGTCCATGTACCTGATTTTTATATCTACTTGGGCCTCAAAGTACTTGCACAGGAAGTACTTTAAGGCCCAAGTATTCCCTATTTAGCTACATGGACTAACCCTAAACCCTAAACCCTAAACCCCCTTAGGGTAAGTGCAGGGGCACAAAAGCCCTAAAAGAGACCATGCTTCGCTAGACGAATCCCGGCCAGCGAACCCCTCTAAACAACCCTAAACCCCAAATCCTAAACCCTAAACCCTAAACCCTAAACCCTAAATCCTAAATCCTAAACCCTACACCCTACAAACCCTCCACCACAACCCGCAGAAACCCTTGAAGCCCAAACGCTCTGAGGCCCTACGCGCCCAGCCTGAAGCACCGAAAGCCCACACCCTACGTGCAATGTACCGGGTTTAGGGTTGAGGGTTTAGGGTTGAGGGTTGACGGTTTAGGGTGCAGCTTCGGGCTGTGTATGAGGAGTTTGTTAGGTTTGGGCTTGCAGATTGTCGGCTGAGAACAAGAGATCCCTGTACCCGAGCCCCTTGTGGCTTCCATTCTTTATGCAACATGCCTCCACTGTGAAGCCCTAAACCCTAAACCCTAAACCCTAAACCCTAAACCCTAAAGTATAGGTGCTCCACAGTGGTGGCTTCAGACATGGAGCGCCACCACCTCGATGCGCGGCAGCGATTATCCGGCGGTTTTGGGGGTTTAGGGTTGAGGGTTGAGGGTTTGGGGTTTAGGGTTTAGGGTTTAGGCT